GCCCGAACAAACTACCCTGGGTACCCCCGTGGCAGGCTATCGGTGGTGAAACATCGATAGATTCATCATGGTGAAACAGTGGTTGTTGATGACAGCGATGATGATCTAGCTGATGGAGCTAAAACCCAAGCATACTTGTCCTGATTCATAGATGATCTTGAGCAACAAATGGATCATGACTATGGCAATCAACAAGGTGGTGGCTTTGGCAATGAACAAGGTGGTGATGATGCTGGTGGTGCCAACAATGATGGCGAAGCACGTGAGGGGGATGCAGATGACGGTGACAACTTGGACGAAATGCTTGGGGCCTTTGGACCAGAAATATTAGAAAAGAGCAAGAGAGGTCTAGAAAATCTTGAGAGGGTGACAAAAGCATCAAAGAAGACTGTGTATGATGCTGAGAAGGGCTGTCCGACATACTTCACACTGCTACGTTTTGTGCTTGAGCTACTCATCCTGAAGGTTAAGTACGGCTGGTCGGACTACAGTTTCGATGATCTGTTGTGCCTCATGTCACGGTTGCTCCCACGACCGAACACAATTCTCGCCAACACATACCAAGCGAAGAAGGTTATAAGTTCACTCACATTGGGGGTTGAAAAAATCCATGCATGCCCCAACCACTGTATCCTTTTTCGGCATGGCACATCATTCGAGACTTTAGATACATGTCCTAGGTGTGGGGCTAGTCAGTACAAGAACAATGACCTTCAAAGTGGGGTGGAAGCCTCCACAGGAAAGAGGAAGAAGGGTGGGAAGAAGGTGGTGCAAGAATCTCAGCCCCCAGAGGAAACTCCATTAGGCAATGATGCAAATAAGAGAAGAATTCCTACCCTGGTTATGTGGTACTTGCCAGTGACCGACCGCTTGAGGCGTATGTTCCTAAACCCTAAGGAAGCCACACTGATGACATGGTGGGATGATGAGCGCAAGGTGGATGATGATACGATCGCACACTCGGCCGATGTAGCCAGTGGCAAGCTTTCGATGCCAAGTACAAAGCAGAATTCAGTGATGACCCATGGAATGTACGGTTCGGCTTGGGCACCGATGGAATGAATCCCTTCAATGAAAGGATGACCGACCATAGCACATGGCTAGTCATCTTGACCATGTACAACCTCCCAACGTATTTGTGTCAGAAGAGGAAGTACTTTCTGCTCACCATTCTTATCTCCGGCCCCAAACAACCAGGCATTGATATAGACGTGTTCTTGGAGCCTCTGATGCAAGAAATGGAGAGGCTATGGAGGTATGGGGAGCCAATGTACGATGCATTCTGGCGGGAGGACTTCATATGCAAACAAATAATATTTGTTACTACCAATGATTACCCCACGCTGTTTGCCCTATCTCGACAGTTCAAAGGCAAGAATGGATGGTTAGTCTGTTTGGATGGTACTAAATGGGTGTTCCTAGATGGATCTAGGAAGATAGTTTACATAAGGAACCGGCGCTTCTTAAAGACAGGTGGAGAAAGGACTGTCTATGATGGAGCCACAGACACTAATGAGGCCGCCCGAAGAACTGGCGGTAGTTGGCAGCCCTCCGGATGTTCCCAGCAGTCAAGGTTCCAATGCAATTGAAACCCTCGTCGATCGCATACGGGCGCCAACCAGTTGCAAATTGGTGGTTCCGATGGGCAGGCAAAACGTGATCATTGAGGTGGCAACGGGCGTGGCACATCCTCCGGGCGGCACGTGGCACAATAGGGACATCCCGTAGGACTACACTCGTGTCGAGGTGCATATTGTGAAGCACGAGTTCATGACTTGGAAGATAGAACACCCTACTCCCGAGGGGCTCGTGTTACTCGGAGATGTCATGAACTAGTTTATCCTCTGGCATAGACAGGACATTGTATTGACCGAGTCTTCACCAACTCCGACTGAAGTTCATCCTCTGGAGCGACCCGTCGAGGACGGGGAGGTATACTCACTAGCGCATGCCCATGACCACCACATGCTAGAGACTTCACCTCGTACCGAGCAAGGGCATGATGGCATGCCACATCCTTCTCCACCTCGTACCGAGCATGGGCATGATGACATGCCATGTCCTTCTCCAGCTCATACCGAGCAAAGGCATGATGAGATGCAACATCCTTCTCAACAAGCGCAGTCGATACATGAACAAGTGTCTCATGAATAGCAATTGCCTCGTGAACAGCCAATACGTGAAGAACAAGTGGCCCCTGGAGCAGGTGATGCACAAGTTGACAAGGACATGCCTGAATGGGAAGCTCGAAACAAAATCCTAATCAAGATAAGGCCATCGTATGTGGGCATTAATGAGGTCTTGTCGGTGCACAAGTGGATGGCCCATGACCAGTTCAAGCCTAAGAACCAAGTAAAAGAATTTAGAGCACCAGCTTCTGAGGAGGACACCACTAGCAAACTGCACAAAGGGTTTAACAAGTATCCAGCTGTTGATAACCTCAAATGGTCAAATGATTGCCCGGATAAATATGAAAAAGGCAAGAACTTCCTACCAAACCGAGTCATACAGTGCTTGCCACGTGGAATGAGAAAGTTCCACGATTGGTACTTGCGTGCTCAGATAACAGAACTAGAAATCTTACAAGCATGGATCCCTGCCGGCACATTTGGAGCCCAGGTGGGCAAATTGCCGTTGAGTTTAAGGATATCCAGGCATGCTTCCACCTCAGACGAATGGAAATGAATCTAATTCGCATGTGGTGCCTTTAAGTACTTGCCCTCTCGATATGATATGAATGTAATCTTTTGATTTTGTTGTAACTAACCCGCGCCGTGATTTGTAGAATGCAAGCGGACTTTGTGAGAAAGAGGTCAGCTCTGAAACACGGGTATATATACCCTTCACCTATAGCATCAACAAATTTTAATTACCCTAAAGAGTGGAAACTAGATTGCAAAGAACTAGGAGCTAGAAAGACACTTAAGGAGAAAGAGGACATCAGAAATAAGAAAATATTGGAAGAGTCCCTCAATGTTGCGGCATACATTGCCCTATGTTTTAAAAATCTCCAACAACACGATACTATATAGATACCATACCACTTCAAGTAAGTTCGACTGTATACTTAGCTTTATTCAATATACTTTGTTCGATGCAAAAGAGCTTATGTGTTCCTTCTATGACTAAATTCATGCAGCGATCACTGGATTTGCATAGGCGTCTGGCTCTCACATAGCATGGCATGGGTCTTTGATTCAGCGGATTTCCCAGTCGAGACATACAAAGACTTCATAGTGATTGTCAAGACGTATACATATCGACAATCCTCATTTTAGCTACTATGTTTGTATACATACTTGTAAGGTTCAATGTGGGATACTAACAAGTTGCATTTGCTAAAACTATTGGAACAGGGCATTCAGGCACTATGTCCAGGAACATAAGGGGAGGCATCATCCAAATAGGAAGAAAAAGTTATATGTCAAAACTCTATATGCGGTAAGTGTCATTTACTTTGGTACTCCATATATTCCGTGTCTGTCAATAGCATTACTTAACATCTCCATATGCAAAACACACAGTGCCCCAAGTAGAAGCCTGGGAGTCTACATTGTGGATACTACACATGTATTATGATGAGTACCATCGGTGGCTACAACAGAAACCCTAATCTGGTAAGTTTGAACATCTTCGCTCGTAGTATGAAAAGTTCACATATGTTGTGATATAGTAAACCTAAACTTGTTCTCTTATAGTTGGAGAAAGATAAAGACACGAGAAGGAACCCATACAAGGATGACGAGCTCTTAGAGATGGTCGGCGACCTTTGCAACTTCATAATGGACCAGATTATGTACCATAAAGGCACTTACCATCATCTTCTTTTTGACTTAGGTAGTAATCCTCTATACCCACACCTTCGTGAGACTGATAGGCTAGCCCTAGGCCGTTGATGACAATGTGGACTTGTGGTATGGTTTGGATCAGACTTTGGAACGGTTTGTACTTTGTTTTGCATGTTGAATTGTGGATTTCTTAATGGACTATGTTATAATGATGGACTTCATAATGGACTATGTTGTAATGATGGACTTTTGTGAATTATGACTTGTGATGATGTTCTAAATAATGGTCTTGTGTTTGTGGATGTATATATGTATATTTGTGGCGGTCAGATTCAAATTTGAATTATATATATATATATATATATATATATATATATATATATATATGTGTGTGTGGTCAGATTTGAATTTGAATTATTTTTTTTTACTGAAAAATCCACTGTAGAGACGGTTCTTGATTGAACCGTCCTTACAAATACACACAGCAGGGGCGGCTGGTGATACAGCCGCCCTTACAGAAGTCTACTGTAGGGACGGTTGATATTACCAGCCATCCCTACAGAGGGCACTGTAGGGGCGGCTAAAAACACCAGCCGCTCCTATAGAGGCACCCTCTGTAGGAACACCCTGAGAAGGACGGCTGGCGCAGCCGTCCCTACAGAGGCTCTAGAGTCGCCCCTACAGTTAACTTCTGTAGTAGTGACAGATGTAAAGTAGCAGTACAGGCACGGTTACAATGTTCCAGTGGTGCTAACACACTCTCTAAACATCAGGCTACTTATACCAGTAGCTAATACACACACTTGCATTAATGAAAAACTGCTAAAAATAAGATACAAGATGGCTTCAATAAACTGCTGCTGAGCACGCTCGACGTGGGCGCGGTCACCATGGCTCCAACCGCTCCCGCCACTGTCGCCATCATTCAAATTCAAACCTGCTGCTCCCTCTTATCCAGCTAGCCTGCAGCTTCAGTTCAGTGAGCAACAGGCTTACACCAACACTGGCTACACGTCCTGGAAACACTGGCACGAGAGCCAGAGGAGGCCCGACGAGGTGCTGTTCCTCAGGTACGAAGACATGCTGAAAGATCCGGTAGGGAACCTCAAGAAGCTAACCGCGTTCATGGGATGCCCGTTCTCGAAGGAGGAGAAGGCGGGTGGGGTGGTGGATCAGATCGTGGAGCTGTGAAGCTTGGAAAACCTTAGGAGCATGGACGTGAACAAGAACGGGAGTACTACAGTGCTAGGTATCACGAATGATGCGTTCTTCAGGAAGGGCCAGGTCGGTGACTGGAAAAACTACATGACGCCGGACATGGTGGCGAGGCTGGATAAGGTTGTTGAGGAGGCCACTCGAGGTGCTGGCCTCACCTTTGCCGACTCCGTCTCCGTGTAATTAATAAGCTTTCACACCATCTTATTAATGGAGGTGACCTTTGTATCGAGGTTCTGGGAATCTGGGCTTCATCACCTTTGCCGACTCCGTCGAGGTTCTCAGCTCACCTTTGTATCGATCCATAGGTTTGGCGCTTTGCAAAAATACGACCAGGTGGCTTGTTTCAATGGAGGTGACGTTTCCATAGACAGTGAGGCACATAGTCTACTCCAGTATGATAAGTGTGAATGTCGTGGTGTGTGTAGGTGTTTGTGGTTGCACAAGAAAAGACGCAGCATCGCCCTATTTGTTTTACAATAAAATTATGTTCTTATTATTCAACAAAAAAGAGCTTTGCAGAAAAAATTCTTAAATAATCATTGGGAGAAGCGACTACAAACTGCAGGTATACGGGGTTCAATGCTATATGGGGTTTAATTAGAGGAAACACACATATATCACTGTCTATATATAGGTCTTTCGGATGTCTAATTGTCTTCTAACAACCGCGTGTTCACAGCCGAGAGAAAAACAACCAATGTCGGGCATAAGAAGAAGTGAGTGTTTCGATAGCTTTCGGCACACAGATCTTGAACCATCGGATTTTAACCTGATGTCTTCTTGAATTTTGATGTTTTGTTGTCTATATATGTGGGCCGGTTGCCTAGGTCAAAACATTGAATTCGCAATCTTTATCAGGCCGAGGTGTGTTCATGTCTAAATATGTATGCTGTGTTGTTTCCTATTTTTGTTGTGCGTCTTACAAGCACGTATAAATATGGCTTGTCAGTTCATGGGGTCTATAGGTTCAATGTTTGTACATGGCAGCTGTCAATAGGGCAGATGTTGTTCCTTGTTGTTTTACTGCATTTTCGACTATGCTCCAGACGTATGACACACGTGCTAGGCTTCTTTAATTAGTGAATCTAAGTAGAAAAAAAAACATATTCGTTATAATGAAAAATGCAGTTGCAGAAATAACAATTTAAAATGATACAAGTTTGTAAAATAATGACAAATTAAATTTAAAAATGCCATAAAAATCATGATCACTAATTATTATGACTGCCATGGCCCTAATTAGAAAGCAAGAAAAATACAAACTCTTGAATGTGAACATATAAAAGAACAAACTGCAAATTGGGGCCAAAATATTAAAACAACCAATAACAACATAGAAATAGAAGTTCTCGGAATATATATAAACAAGGAAAACCAAAAAAAACAAAAAAAAAAAAACAAGCTGCAAACTGGGGGCCAAAATATAAAAATAACCACCAACAATGTCAACAAAAAAGAACATGCTACCAACTAGGGGGCAAATTATAGACATGCGCCCGGACAAGAAGAACAAAAAAACAAGTTGCCAATTGGGGTCCAAATTATATAAACAAACATTAACAGCATCAACAAAAAAGTGCTACCAGCTGTGGGCATCAATAAAAAAACTGCCTACTGCGGACACCAAACTACAAATATTATCTGTTGTAACACGGCCTCCGAGGGTGGCGGAGACCTGCGCGGCCAGCAGTTCGCAGAGACGTCTCCGACCGACTACCTAAGCAAAGGCCCGGCTACCACGCCTCCAGACTTAGAAAGACGATGGTTTCTCAGACCGCTTGCAGGACGCCGCCGGTGACCCTGGCGTAGCCTCCGTCCGGTTAGCTCGTAGGCATCTCCGGCCGGAGGGGGCGGAGGCCGCCCCGCTGCAAGGCTAATCAAGTGCAAACGTTATCTACGTGTGTGTGCAGGTAACAAGAGGAAGGCGCTCGTGGATGGCGCGGGCGCGCCGGTTTGGCCTCCGCTCGCAGGGGCAGAGACCCAAGCAGGAGGACGACAATACTGGGCGTCGGGGGTTTGCGGCCTCGGCGTCCCAGGGGCGGAGACCGATGGCGGAGGCCCAAAGGCCCATCGCCGAATCCTGAGACCTGATGGGCCGGTTGATCGTGCAGGCCCAGTACCTGAGGGCGGCAAGACAAGATTACCCCCTAGAAGAAAGGCGAGTAGCGGGATATTCCGAGAATGTACTGAAGCAGTTGAAGGTTACTATTGTAAACTCTATGAAAGTGGTAGTTGAGCCCTATAAATAGGGAACACTTGTAACAGTACGGGTGGTTGGTGAATGAATTAATGAAACCCTAGTTTTACGTGCCATTTCCCTACACGCCCGCTTATTGTGTCTGTTTCTCGAGCCTCAGCCTGAGGGCAGCGCCTCGCGGGCGGAGGCCTCCACCTCCTCCACATTGTCTGAGACCGCAAGTCTCAACATTGGCGCCCACCGTGGTTTGGCCAAGGCAAACCAACGATGGCAGGGAAAAGAAAAACCACCACCAGAGCAGCAACGACCACGGGTCAGCGAGGAAGGCCTAGGCGCACCACTCGTAGCACCTACGCAACCTCGCCAGCGGAGGATGACACCAGAGCAGATGCCCAGGGTCAACCACCGCAACCCCAAGATCCAGAGATTCAAGATCCAGAGGCCCAACCAAACTCAGCCGTAACACTCGAGCAAGAACTGCAACAGCTGCAAGCACAGTTGCAAAGAGCGCAACAAGAGAGGGACATAATGGCAGCAGCATTCGCAGCTAATCAGCAAGCTATTCAAGCGTCAGCACAAGCAGCAGAAATAAGGCACTAGTTGGAAGTCCTACATGCTGAGATGCTAAGTATGCAGCATGCAGTACCAGCGTCAACCTCCGCAATCCCAGCCTCCGCAGCAACACCAACTGCAACCATACCACAAGGGCCTCCGCTAGCGATCAGCCAACCCACGATGCCATCTCAGGTGATGCGGAGGCCTATCGATCCCAAGTCCCCACTCTCTGAAGGCATAAAACAGTCGCCATGGCCAACGGCGTACAAGCCAATCACACTACCAAAGTTCAACGGAAAGACAGACCCCCATCAGTTCATTATGAGTTACGAGGCAGCAGTAGCCTCCGCCGGCGGAGACGACGCCGTCTTGGCAAAGTCATTTGTCATTGCAGCCGAAGGCGACGCGTTGGCTTGGTATTCTATGCTCAAACCAAGCACAGTCTATTCTTGGGAGAACCTCCAGGACAAGATATTGACAAACTTCAAGGGGCTAACAGCACAGTCGCTGACTTCCACAGATCTGTTCCAGTGCAAGCAAATGCAGTGAGAGACACCACACAACTACTTCGGGAAATTCGTGCAACTAAAGGCGAAGGCACCAGACGTCCCAGACGAGATCGCCATTGAAGCAGCGATCAAAGGCCTTCGAATCGGGCCGTTCGCAGCACACCTAGCAAGAAAGAAACCAACTTCCATACATCAGTTGTATGACGAGTTCGAGAAATACTGCAGATCAGACAATGACCTCCGGAAAAGGCTGGAGGAGCAGGGTCAAAACAGACAGCAAAACAGCAGCAAAAACTCCCAGAAAACCTATACGAACCAGAATGCATCAAATCAGAAACCAGGCCAGGGGCAAGTGCTCAGCATCAAGGGCCAACCTCACCCCGAGCAAGGGCAACAGGCAGCGCCAGCACGGCCGGAGACCCAGACCAAGAACCAAGGTCGGCAAGGTTACCAAGACAAAAACTGGAACAAAAACCACAGCCAGAAACAACGCAGGCCACATTGCGTTTTTCACAGCGAAAACGCAGGGCATAGCACCAAAGATTGTCCGGAGACAAAAGAGACACAGGAAAGGATGAAGAACAAGCAGAATGCCCAACCTCCTACACAGCAGAGCGCAAGAGAGGTTAACACCACCTACACAACTGGCCACCAGCAGTACTACCCAATGTACCCAGCGCTAAACGCAACCCAAATACATCCCTCCACACTGGCCTCTGCCTATTACCCAAACTTCCTACCAGCATGGCGGTCAGCGCCTTCGCAGCAGCCTCCGGCGGGTAACTACAGGTCGGAGGCAAGCCTGACCTACATAAACCCAAAATCTCCCCACATAACCTACCTCAAAACAAACCCACCGGCACAAAACCAAATCAGGTTCGAGCCTCCGCCGCAACAGCACCACATGCAGCAACTGCCTCCACCGCCACCTCACAACCAACCACCAGCACTAAAAAATGAACCAAACCCAGAAAACCAAGTCAACCCCCATGGACCGCTACCAACAATAGGCATGATACTACCAATCGCCGGAGGATCATCAATGGAGTTTCAAACGAAAAAGCAGAAAAAGGATCACCTCTGCCTGGTAAACAACGTAGCAGTCCAAGGCCCAGCAAAATACACAGATTGGTCTAGAGTCCCAATCACCTTCATAGAAGAAGATCTCCAGCTAGAAAGCTACCCTCACGCAGACGCAATGGTAATCAAGACAAACATAGCAGCATAGGAGATAAGCAGAGTACTGATTGACAATGGCAGTTCAGCAGATATCATCTTTGCAAATACCTTCGACCAAATGAAGCTCAGCAGAAATCAACTACAGCCCTCCGAATCCCCTTTGATAGGATTCAGAGGCAAGCAGATACAAGCATTAGGAAAAATCTCACTCCCAGTGTCATTTGGAACCCAAGCAAATGGTAGAACCGAGTACATAACCTTGGACGTCGTCGATCTGTATTACCTATACAATGCCATCTTGGGCAGAGGATTCACGACTAAATTCAACGCAGCCCTGCATATGGCCTACCCGTGCATGAAAATACTAGCACTCCATGGTATTATCACAGTCCGAGGCAGCCAGAAAGAAGCAAGAAACATAGAAAAAGCAATCTACAGAGCCCAAAGAAACATCAATGCAGTCGAGTCGACAGACCAAAAACTAGAGCCTCCGGATATGCCCAGAGGAAAAACAGATATGGCAAGTCAAGAAGAGACAAAGGTGACCCCTCTAGAAAAGGAATTACCAGACAGAAAAGTAACAATCAGCTCAGAGTTGAGCAAAGTAGAGGAGGAAGAGCTAATGGAAACTCTAGTAAAAAACAAAGACATCTTCGCCTGGTCAGCCTCCGACCTGCAGGGAGTCAGCAGGGACATCATACAGCATGAACTGGATATCAATGAAAACATGAGGCCAAGAA